GCTTGCTATGTGTGCATAGCCAGTGTGCACACCCTCTCTGAGTCTCTAAAAAGTCGGGGTTTAAGAAACCTCAGACTTAGTTGGGCGTAATGGCACACACCTCTGATCCTGTGAATTTGAGGCCAGCCTGTTCTATATAGTGAGTTCCAGAATAGCCAGAGCTACATAGTAAGACCCTGTTTCCAAAAATACCAAACCAAACCACACCAACAAAAGAAACTGCAGGCTTGTAGAGACTGGGTAAAGGAAATCACCAAGCAGACCCACCTTGGGCTTGCTGTTAACAGATGGAGGGATCTTTCTGGGAGTCAGGATGGCCAAGTGAGACCTTTCTGGTTGAGGGGAAAGTGCTGTTTTTTCCTAAACCTTGTTTTTTTTTTTTTCTGTCTGCAAAAATGACTCATTCAAACTGTTGGACCCCAAAATTTAGGGTCTCAGGTGGGCACCCCAAGAACCCAGACTCCAGTCCAGTTGATGCAACAGCACGAGGATTTTATTAAAGAAACATCTGTACAGATGGGCAAACTCTGCTCCAAAGAGCAAGAGTCGCCCCTTACTGCAGCCCCATAAGGGCTTTTAAAGGAAAACCCCATAAGATTACAATTCCCATACAATTTCATGGCCTGATCACAGGGTGATCACAGAGGGGGTACAGTTATGTAAACCTCAAGGGGGGTATCAGGGCGGGAGTGGAGCTTACACACAGGTCACGGTGGTCCTTCCTGGAACATCTGCAACTATCCCAGTCACAGTTGAGCACATCTCTTAACAGAAATCTTTTTACATTGTTATATTGTTACAGGGGTGATTGAATAGTGGCTGAGTCAGGTGGACCTTGGAACTAGATTTTCAGTTTCTCATTTCCTGGTGCTTGAAGTTTCTCTCTTTCTGAGGCTTGGGGATGTAAGCCTGAAGGGCTAGGGTCTTTCACAAACAACATTCGAACCTTTAAGTAAATGACTTCCCATAATCCTCCCCTCCAGGTAGTCACTGTTAATAGTGAGTTTTTCTTCTTGAGAGAGGGTCTTATTAAGTGAGAACCACTGCAGAGACTTTTGGTTTGGTCCACATGGAAAGAGCTATAGCTGAAGTTTTACTTATTTATTTTACATTAATAAATTGGGGTTAGGCTGGGGAGATGGCCCAGCTGGTAACCTGCTGGCTGTGCAAATATGAAGACCTGCGGTGATTCCCAGTGACCACATACCAAGCTGGATGTGGCAGGATACACTTGTAAGGCCAGCTCTGGGACAACTATGACAGGAGGATCAGGGGGCATTCCAGCCAACCATCCTTGCTGAATCAGTGAGCTCCAGGAGACAGGAGGATGTAGGGATGAGCTCCAGGAGTCAGGAGGATGTAGACAGAGGTCAGGAGGATGTAGGGGTGAACTCCAGGAGACAGGAGGATGTAGAGGTGAGCTCCAGGAGACAGGAGAATGTAGACAGAATTCAGGAGGATGGAGGGGTGAACTCCAGGAGACAGGAGGATGTAGAGGTGAGCTCCAGGAGACAGGAGGGTGTAAGGGTGAACTCCAGGAGACAGGAGGGTGTAGAGGTGAGCTCAAGGAGACAGGAGGACGTAGGGATGAGCTCCAGGAGTCAGGAGGGTGTAGGGGTGAGCTCCAGGAGACAGGAGGATGTAGACAGAGGTCAGGAGGATGTAGGGGTGAACTCCAGGAGACAGGAGGGTGTAGAGGTGACCTCCAGGAGACAGGAGGGTGTAGGGGTGAACTCCAGGAGACAGGAGGGTGTAGGGGTGAGCTCCAGGAGACAGGAGGGTGTAGGGGTGAACTCCAGGAGACAGGAGGGTGTAGGGGTGAGCTCCAGGAGACAGGAGGATGTAGACAGAGGTCAGGAGGATGGAGGGGTGAGCTCCAAGAGACGAGGTGGGAGTATCAGGGGGCGTTCCCATCAATCATCCTCACTGAATCAGTGAGCTCTAGGGTCAGTGAAAAACTCCTGTCTCAAAAAATAAGGTGGAGGGGTTAGGGACTTACCACAGTGATGGAGCATCTGCCTAGCAAGTCAAAGGCCCTGGGTTAGATCCTCAACTTTGGAGGGGAAAAAGGTGGACAGTGATAGAGGAAGACACCTGACCTCTGGACTCAACATGCACACCCACACAAGCATGCACATGCACACACCCACACAAGCATGCACATGCACACAGACACATACACAGACACACAGACCACACACAGAGAATATTTTTTTTTTTTTTGAAATAAGGTTTTCTCTATGTAGCTGAGGTTTGGCCTAAGATTAAGTCCTCCTGCCTCAGCTTCTAAGAACTCTGATTACAGGCACACACTATGCTCTGCTGCTCTTCTCCAGTGCAAAAAGCATAAATAAAGTTTAAGTCAGCCTCCCTTCCTCCTTGTCTCCTGCTCGGAGGACCTTTCAGTCCCCTCCAAGGGCGGCTACATCTGTGCGGGCCTCTATTCCTACTCATGCTGCCACTGGCTTCCAAGCCCTCTACAACTGTCTCTGAAGATATTTAAGACAAACACAAAGTAACAAAACCACCGCTATTGCTGGTCTTTCAGCCCCTGAGAGGGATCCAGCCTAATGTGAAGGCAGAGCTCGGTACAGATTAGGGCAGATGAACCTCTGGTTAGGAAAGAGGGCAGACACCTGGAGGGACAGGCTGGCCCTCTAAGTGCTGCTGTAGCTGTCTTTTCTTCCAGGTTTTCCACAGACACCATTTGTCTGGGTTTGTATGAATCCTCCTTGTTTTGGTGAATAATTTCATGGCAATTGAAAACAAAGGACCAACGTGGACTTAATCTAAGTATTTACTAATGGAGAAGCAAACACACACCATGGGACATTATTGGAAAGGGGGTGAATTCCTATGACCCCACACGATGTTGTGCCTGGAGTAGTTAGGATTATAGTGAGAATGGGTGGGTGGGAGGAGGTAGTGGGGAGCCATGTCTCGTGACATGGAGAGTTTCTGTTTGGGAGGGTAAAGAGTTCTGGTGACAGGTGACACTAATGGGTGCAAAAAGAATGTACTGATGGCACTGAGCTGTACGCTCACAATGGTAAGGCGATGCCCTGTATGTTCAGTACATTTTATTAGAACCAAAAACTTCAGAACAGGGCTGGGGAGAGGATTCAGCGGAAGTGTGAGGACCAGAGTTCGGATCCCCAGACCCTATGTAAATGCCAGGTTGGCATGACAGTCTGCCAGCACCTAGAGGGCAGAGACAGGGGATGCCAGATCGGGGCAGCTAGACGAGCCAGTACTGGTGGGCTCTGGGTTCAGTTAAGAATAAGGTGGGAAATGGTGGGATAGCGTGAGGAGCAGTTGATGAAGATTCCCATTGTCATGCATATGCACACTCCACACACATATGAACACATGTATACATGCATACCCACCACATACAAATACAACAACAACACAAACCTTTCAAACAAAACATAAAGTACCCCAAACACCAAACTGGAAAGCTAGTTTCATGGGGGCAAGACTTCATTGGTTGTTCTGGCTGGCCCACCAGCAGTTGGCACTTCGTAGATGCTCCATGCAGGATGAGGATTTGTGGCCCTCATCCACACCCTCTGACTTCTAAATCTTTTTGTTCATGCTCGTCAAAAGCCCCCCTCCCCCACACCAGCAAGTCTGTCCCTGTACCTTCTCCAAGTGAGCTTCACAACTGGGTCTGGCTTTCTTTAAGAATCTGAGGACTGGGGATGTAATTCAGTCAGTAGAGTGATTGCCTAGCATGTACAAGGCCCTGGGTTAGCTCCTCAACACTGCATAAACCAGGCTTGGTGGACACCTATAATCCCAGGATTTGGGAGGTAGAAGCAGAAGGATTTGGAGCTTAAAGTCATCCTTAGCTACGTAGGGAGTTTGAGGCCAGCCTGGAATACTTGAGACCCCGCTTCACAAGAAAAACAACCAAAACAAGCAAGCTGAGAATCCGGGGGCTGGGTGTAGCTCGGTGGTAGGGAGAGCACTTGCCTAGCGTGTATGGATCCAAGGGTTTGATCATGATGCCGAAAGGAAAAACATCAGCAAATAAAAGGTATTGCACCCGTGAGGTGGGGTTATATTCATGGGGGTGATGCTCCACCAGGTGGGGTGTGGCCCCTTGGACCCGCTGCACCTGAGATAATCAGGATCCGCTTGCAGCAAGGGTTGCAGAACCACGGGCAAGAGAGACTTCTGCATTTACCCTGGTCCCAGCCTTGCAGTGCCCCAGGGTAACCAGGTGATGTCCCCACAACACACAAACCAGAGTGGACTAGGTTTGGAAACAGAGAAATCTGGGGTGGCTGGGGCCCTGGCTGTGTAGGTGGGTAAGGTGGGGCAGGAACAGGAGATAGTGCCAGCTCACAGAGCCGATGCCTGGCTGAGCTGTCGGGCTGTGCCTTGCAGTAATGGGCGCATGGCGGGGCCTTTGGAAGGAGTCCGGGCTTAGCTGTGGCTGAGGGTGGACAGAAAAGGGCCAGAAAGAAAATTGTCTCCTTTTTCTCTAGGATTCTCAAAGGTAGAAGGCAGAAGCTGATTCAACCCATGGCTCCATTTATGGAGTCCCTGGTGAATGCATATGGCCTTCCTGGAAGTGGGAGCAGTGTAGGTTGAGAGATCCGGTGTAGTGGAGGGAATGCCTTTAGATGGCCCCATACCAGTGTGGCATGTCCTGACATGTGAGGCATGCAAGCTGGTCTCCTCCCAGTGGTGTGGGCTAGACAGGGAGGGCAGTGCTGCATGGGGGCACAGTCATGGAAGAGCTAAACTGGAAGAGCTAACTGCTTTCCTTGCAGCTCTCAGTCTCTTGCTTCTCTCCCAGCCCAGATCTGCATCGCCATCTTCATAGGCCTCCTGTTCACAAGGTTCTGGCTCTTCTCTGTCCTATATGCCACCTGGTGGTACCTGGACTGGGACAAGCCGCGGCAGGGAGGCCGGCCCATCCAGTTCTTCAGACGCTTGGTCATCTGGAAGTACATGAAGGACTATTTCCCTGTCTCTGTGAGTACCAGGCTTTGGGGGTCAAAGGGCCCCTGGGCCACTCATCTCTGTGGGGACAGGGGGCTCTGCAGAGCAGAAGGCTGGCTGGGGGGCAGGAGCCTGAAAAGCCCGTGGAAGAACATAGTGTCTCTCTGGTTGTGTGACTTGGGGCCAGTATGGTCACTGAGGAATAAATGTGGCTTGAAGGGGATATGCGTGTCTTATAGGGGCAAAGTCAGCAGCAGTCAAGGTTCTGGGTGAAGGTGATAAACAGCAGGTCTTAAGAGACCCCACATTATACTCAGCAGATAGGGGGACCCCAGGGTAAAACCTGAGTCACACAGTGAAATCTTCTACAAACTTCTGCTTTGGTCACACTGAGTACCCCAACCAGCTCACGAAGCCTCTGGACAAGCTCCTGGCTTCTGCACTGGTATAGGACTGTGTCAGAGTCTGTCCTGCCATATCACTGGCAGGCAGTATATCCTTAGGCAAGGCTTGGCCCATGCTGGCCTCAGTGTCCCTAAGGATCAGCAAGCAGTATGACATCTCCTACCTTGAGTGTCCTCAAATCCTGGCACTTTTGATTCACGGCACTTTCAGGTCATTGTGAACATGTGGACTTGAAGGTTGGTCCTGAGTGGAGCAGATTCCTGAACCTGAGTGAGCAGACTCTGGGGCTCCTTCAGTAGGATATAGATAAACGGGACTCTGAGAGGCCCAGGCAGTGCTGCCTGACTGGTGGGGTGAAAAGGCAGTGGGGATGTGCAAGGCCAGGCCTGGGTACTTGAAGCATGGCTTACGGAGCTCGACAGACTAGATCCTAATCCAGATCTGCCATGTAGTGTGAGCCTGAGGCAGGTTGCCCAGTCTCTCTGTGCCTCTGCTTTGGTCATATTTAAGATAGAGATAGCTGGGCATGGTGGCACACACCTTTAATTCCAGTACTTGGAAGGCAGAGGCAGGAGGAGCTTGGTGAGTTTGAGGCAATCTTGGTCTATATAGTGAGTTCCAGGACAGACAGGGCTATGAAGAGAGATCCTGTCTCAAAAAGCAAACAGAAATGTTGCTGTACACCTCCCTGGACAGTGTGGATTCCAACAGACTTTGCAGACAAAGTCCTCAGACAGCCTAAGTAACAACTGTTCTCACACCATGTAACCAAGTCAGTAGGGCACTGCCTGGACCCTGGACGCTCTGACCTTTACCCCCACCCAACTTCTTCCTCCCCGTGTAGAGTCCCGTCCCTTCCTTTGGTCCGGGACTCAAGTCCTGAGCTATCAAAGGAGAATGGGTGGAAGAAACAGGCTCACAGAGGTTAAACAACTTGCTTGTGTCATGGAGACTCCAGTCAAGGATCCTACCCTGTGCCTTTAAGAGTTCTGTGGCCCCGCAAGGGCTGACAAAGGTTGGGTGACAATGGCATGCAGGAGCCCCTAGCTCTCCAGTGAGCAGAGCCTCCAAGGAAAGGGGCTGGGGAGGAGCAGGGAGGGGCTAGCAGAGACTGTCACTCAAGGGCATTGAGCATCTCAGTGTCAAAGGAGAGGGAGCTGGACTAGCTTGGGGGACTCATTGAGTGACAGTCACCTCTGCCCCTCAGATGTGTATATTCTACAGGGACTCCTAGTATCTCACAGCGCAGCACAGCACAGCGCAGTTTGTTGGGACCCAAGAGCAATCATGGACACGTCTTGGACAGAGTCCGCAGTCCCCACCCCAGGACCTCTGAGCTCTGTGACTGAACTCCCTTCCCTGCCTCCCCTCTCTCCCCTGTGTCAGGAAGGGCAGAGTTCTCTGGGAGGGTGTGCCCTCCTTTGAAGGTGTAAGTGGCATGAAGTACAGAGTCAAAGGAAACCTGGTGAGTCCTGACCCACCAGAAGAAAGGCTTCCTGAAGAGCGGACCTCACAGGCAGAGGCGAGGAGCTTGTCCAGAGACCCCCTGAGCTGGGTTGGGGTGCTCAGTGTGACCAAAGCAGATGCTAGCCTGAGCTGTGGCTGGAGAGGCGGCTCAGGTCAGTGGAGCCCCCTAGAGGCTACTTCCCAAAACTAGGACCGCTAGCCGACATTTTCCAGGTCTGGGTAGCTCGGGGCTCTGGAGGACATCTGCTTCTTCCCACTTGGATTCCCAGCAGCAGGGCTGACAGAAATGATAACGAGGAGGTCCACGGTCTTCCTGATCCTTCCACAGCCAGGGGGCTCCCCGCCTGATTTGCAGAGATTCGAATGTTGTTTATTACTTACCCCAGGCTCTGTGCAGAAGCGCCGGCCAGGGGCAGGCGACACCAGTGAGTGGCCAGCAGGGGGAGAGATGCTGGCCTCTTGGGATGTGCCTGGCTTAGAATGGGAGTGAGCAGGAGAGGACTGTGGCCTGCAGAATTCCTTTTCCACTGACCTCCAGGATACCTTCCCTCTCTTCTGGGCACTTTTCCTTCCCAGCTCTGCTGACACCTCCCGCCACCATCCCCATCAAATGCGGTCAGCTTCTGATGATTTTCAAGTTTTGATTATTTGTTACTAAAATTTTTACCAACTAGCTTCCGGGGGTGGAAAGGTCAAACAGAACTAGAACATTATGCCTGTACCACGGCGCTTTCCAAAGTCATCTTTGCTGCTTCCCTAAGAGCGAACGGTGAGGAGGAGTCAGGCGGTTTCCTCGAGGGAACTGTCCCTACCACATGTGAAAGAGGGGTCCAGGAGTTGGGTGTCCCTGTGAAGATGTCATCACCCAGAATAAACACACTCTACACAGGCCAAGACCTTGGTAGGGACCAAGTTCTGTGACCAGGACCATGACCTGGGGTCAGGAAATGCTGAGCACATCACACTGATCATTGTCAGAGTCAGCTTGGTACAATGCAGATCACCTCTCACCCCACCCCTGTCCCTGCCCCTGTTCCTCCCAGCAAGTAGCTTCCAGGAGGCTTTCTCAATCCCTATTGACAATCGGGACTAGGTAAGTCCTTTCTTCTGACTGGCAGCTACCTACTATGTACCAGTACCAATGTCCATAGACAGACGGGGTGGGGGAGATGGCAAACTCCATCCCCTTAGTGAGGACCACTGCTCCAGAACCTGTGTTCTGGGTCCTAAACTCCCCCCGACTCATCCCGCTTTCCCTCTACCCTAAGTCCAACCAAGAACCTCTCTCTTCCTGCATTGCCCTGGCTCCACAGCCCCTACCCCATTATCCGTGCTTTCACAGTGTACCCTGCCTTGGGATAAAAGCCATCTTTGTAGCAGCGCGCAAGGCCCTGCAGTCTGGGCTCTTACCTGGCTTTCTTTTCACTTTTTCGGTCCCAGTTCTCCGAACGTAAGCCATGTCACCAGTGCAGGGGGCCTAATCGGAGCACACCCCACTTCACTAATCCCCACCACCTTTCACACAGAGTTCTGACAGGGCTTTGCACTTGGGGCCTGGATGCCTGGACTCTGCCCCTTCATTAGCTGTGTGAGCCAGAGAAAGACCAAGGGTCTCAGTTTCCCCCTCTGTACACTGGGGTGCTGACACCAAAAACGTTCTCAGGGGTGACAGCAGAGGACAGAGTGGGTTGGTGTGTGTCCTGTGCCTGGCACAAAGTCGGTGCTGGGCCTGTTCGTCCACTGAGACACTCTTTCCAGCTCCCAGGCCTCATACAGGCTGCATATCTTCAACTCTGTAATAGTCTCGGTGGTAAAACTTACAATACTGTACTGTATGGACCATAAGAAACACACCTTCTACTAGATTTGCTGAGTGTATCTTGATAAGATGTTTAGGGAAACACTTGATAAGATGGAGGGGAAATAGAGCTTAGAAATGAAGGATATATCCATAGACGGCAGTGAGTGTCAGCCAAATGACCCCATTGTGTTGCAGGAAGGTGGGGCAGAGAATTTAGCTGAGAATCTGGAGAGGCCAAACCCGGACCCAGGGCCACCCGGGGAACTACAAGCAGGCGCAAATCGAATATCCAGCCTTTCCTTCATCCATCCATCTGGCTGTGGGGGAGGGTACAGGGAAGTTGCTCCAGCCCTACATACCCACATGTGCCCACCCAACCAGCCATACACACATGCATACACATACATACACACTTGCACACATCTATATACACAAGGAATTTACACCCAAGGCCAGCACCAGATGTACTGAATCAAACCCTGTCTTCCTGCCAAGTAATTTATGTGCACAGGTAGGCCACGGACCGCTTTTCCTACATGAGAATATTGATCCACGTGCCGTTGGAGCAGTTGAATAGGCTGCTGATGCGGAAGCCTGGGGGAGGGACCTGGCTTTTGCAAGGTTGACTAGAAAGTTGCAAAGCTAGTCCTGAATGCCCTGTGTCCTGAAGCAAAGGCTTTCTGGATCCCTCCTGTGCTCTCTGAAGGAGATGGCGGGTCTCAAATCCAAGTCACCTCTGGTTTGGGGCGATTCTCCCATCCCCTCTGCCCTCCATTTGCTCACTTGCGCAAGGGCGCTCTCACACGGCAGCCAGCCCCTAGGGCCCTGGGAAGTGTCACAAGCTAGCAGTACTGGTGCTTGGTGTGTCCCAAAAGAGCCGAGAGGACAGTGGACTCTGGAGCATGGGAGCCTCAGAAGGTCTGAGAAGGCACAGGGCACATGTGGAGAGACAGGGCTGAACTAGTGTAATAGTGCACTGTGTGATGTTCGGGTCTTCTGTGCAGGCATGGAGAAGGACCTTGCAATTAAAAGCAATATTTCAGAACCTTCCTTCAGAACTGAAAACATGTTCATACCTATCAGGCCCACGTTGTTCCTAACAGCCAAACAGCAGAGACTACTCAGGTGTTCAGCAGCTGATAAACAAAACACAGTCTGTCCATATGATGGAATATTATTTGGTCATAAAAAAAAAGGAGTGAAGTACTGATCTGTGACACAGCATGAAAGAGACCTTGGAAATAGGCCAGTAAGTCCAAGAAGCCAGTTACAAAGGTCGTATATGCATGGTTTCGTTTATACACTGTCCAGAACAGGCAAACCGGCTGAAGGACAGATTAGAGGTTACCTGGGCTGGGGAGAAAGAAGTGA